AGTGAGACATCTGGTGAGGCGTTAATTGAACAGCAAGTGAGATTCTAGGGTGGTTAAGAAACTTACAAATAAGTAACGTGAAAAAAAAAGAGATTTTTCACAGGTTACAAGCACAAGTGAGACCTTTCCTGAATCAAGATCTTAATTGCCATTTTTAATATAAAATGAGTCAAGACCTCCTCTGGAAGTGAGATTTCTAAGGGTTAAGAAACTTATAAACAAGCAACGTGAAAAAAGTGAGATTTTTCATGAGTAACGTGAGAAAAGTGAGATTTTTCACCGATTACAAGCAGAAGTGAGACCTTTCCTGAATCAAGATCTTAATTGACAAAAACAGGTGAGACTATTGTCAAGACCCTTTTCTAAAAAAAAAATTTGAGTGAGACTCATAAGCCGGCATTTATTCTGAAAAATTGTGAGACACGTGCAAAACTCCTGTCTGTCTATGTGTGACTGTCTGTCTGTGTGTATGTTTAAAGTGACAGGCTGATCCTGTGGAGGATCCTTGCCTGTACTAACAGACGGGACCCGAAGCAGATTTGCTTACAATCTTTTTTTTTTACTGAGTTTGGGTTAAGTGAATCTTTTTCATCTGGGGAACAAAGACTGCAGCTTTGTTTGTCAGAAAAAAGATAACACCCACTAACTGCATAAGAAAAAAAAACGCTAAAATACCATGTCTACTTCGCCTGTAAGCTTATTGAGTAATATAAGTTTACAGATAACTGTTCACTATTTGTTTTTTGATTCTATAATGTCCTTCAAGCGTACAGCTGACTTTTTCTGTTATCGGTGGTGTTGCCGGCTCTCAGTCTGGGAGACCAAACGCACGCACGCATTGAACTCCCTCCTGTGTGATAACCACACACACGCACAAACACACACGCTCGTGAACGTCATGTTGCACTAAAGTTTTAAGAAGTTTGACACTCTAAAAAACAAGTTATCTGAATTTAGATAAAAAATAAATAAGAATACTGCATGATGTTGAAAAATAGAAATTGACATTGATTTTATAAGCCATCTACATCGGGTAAGATAGCTATTGTTTATAATCTTGTACCAAAACCCAACTTAGAAAATATCTGAAATTCCCTTTAACTGACTGAATTAATTTATAAAAAATTCTGAAATGTCCCTTTAAACTGTTTAAATTCACTTCATGTCAAGAGAATACCTCTGACCTTTGAAACCAAACCACACTTAATAAAAATTAACTACTAACGGCTTATTAAATCTATAAATTAGGTGCAAATTTAACATAATATAATTAAATCCGAGATAGCCACATTAGGAGTTGATGGCTCATTTTAAGCAGACCTAACAATGTACATTTTAGCAGACTTAGCACTGTTAAGGCATTAAATATGGATAATACACTAACAGTTTGTGTTCTCGTTTCATTTACTGTATGACAATTCAGACCGTTTAAGCTCTCACGACCTTTGAGTTTGACATGTGTGATGTAGGAAGTTCTGCCTTAGATTCTGAGTTTAGTGTTAATGGTGTTTTTTGGCTTTCATTATGAGGTGCTGTTTGAGACCCTTGTGTTGGTCAGAGTGCAGTTATGACACTGCTGGAGGTAGAGGCAGATAGATTTTCAAGAGATGGAAATGGCTATCGGAGAGCTCAATCTGAGCTTTATTTGTCTATATGTAACTTGAGATGGAGAACTTTAATTGGATTTGTTATTTGGGTAATTGATTTTGCTATTTAAGACTGTTTCTGTTAAGTGCCCTGAGACAACTTTTTGTTTGGTTTAGAGCTATAAATAAATAAATTAAGAATAATATCAGGATTTAATTGGATTACTTTATTTTTAAGCTAATCTTAAATTAAGAAAAAGTTGAACTGAGTGAGTTCTTGAACCAGGAGGAATGTTCTGATGACACAATGCACAATTGTTCATATAAGTTGCTGAAAACCCACATGCAATTTGCAGTTTGACATCTTGGACTGGTTCTGAAATGCCCAGCAGTGTATCACATGTGCAGGGTTGATGAAAAACTAAGCTGACAAGAACTTGTGACTTTATGAGACCACATCCTGTTCTGCTACCAAACAACAACAACAAAATCTAAGTCTGGAGCACATGGACTTGAACTGAAACAAAATGCTGATGGCTGTGGAACTGCACTTTTGTCCAGGAGGGGGGAGCTGGACTAACATCATGATGAACTCTTGAACTCTGAACTTGCAGTATCTCCAAAGACACACTGGAGAGAACCTGAAGCGGGCTGTCACTATACGTCTGGATTTGAGTGTCGACTTTTGCATGTGATGTACGGTGGTGCGTTCACTCTGGATCCAGGATAGATGCTGCATGTTTGCGCTGACATAAATGTGCCCACATAGACACACTTTTCAAACATTACAGCAAAATTTTGATTTTGAAAAGTAGTATTGTGGTCACTTGGGACACCGGCCTAGTTCAATGACTTTTAGACAAAAAGGAGAGATTTATAATTTTACAATCTTATGTCAAAAATGAATAAGGTTACCCCTGAACAAATTATTGGCTTTTCCATTGGGCTCACTTTGTCTTTACAGATTAGACTAAGGACTCAGGGACAAGAATGAAAAAGTGTTGTTTGTATTCTTTTTGGTTAACAAATGTTGGTCTTCAATATGAGCTGGAAAATCTGAACTGTGGTTGATCTCACATTTCCTATAGAGCGCTAATTTGGAAAATAAATACATAAATAAATTATCATGTACTGGGGATGATTCGGTTCACACATAAACAGTATTTTGGGCAAATACAAAACGGGAGTCTTATTAACCAACAACCAAAACGGGAAAACTTTACTTCGATGTTTCTGAAACAGGGCACACTGGTGTACTGTTTCAGAAAAATGGGGGAGGTATATAGTGATGTACAGATTTTATAGATTTGCCTTGCTAGAAAATTAAAAAGAGATGCTAATATACAAATTTTATCAACTTCACAACAAAACATTAAGGATACTTTTTGAGAAAATTGAAGGATGCTTCATCACCTGTGTAAATTAGAGATCTTGATAACCAAAGAATCTCACTTTTATGTGTATAGGACAGTTCTCTTAGGGGGACGCCCCTTTTTCTGAGAAGCCTTTTCTGAGACCTTTGTAGACCTTTTTTTTTTTTTTGACCTTTTTTTAGACCCATAAGAACAATGAAAATGTGGTGGATCTATGTTTTTAGATATATTAGCTTGACTTGACTTTACTTGACTGGACTATCAAGAAATTAATTGAGTTTTCATGTATAGAGTGTTTTAACCACATTTTTATGATGAGCACATATTTGTTCTGCCTAAACAGATCTCCAGAGGAGCTACGGCAGAGCTGGATAACTGATTTTGATTTCCTTTTATTTGTTCTATCTCGATCAGAAAACGCAATGTTTGATGTTGTATTGTACTGATTTGAAAGAAAATATATATTTTCTGCGCATGCGTTTAATAATTTTTCCCTACAGACAGGAGGAGGTAAGACAAATAAATTTATTATCTTAACTAAAAACTAACGTCGCTCATGCCAAATATTTCACCACTAAAAACTTTAACTTTTTGATTCTGATTACTCATTTTCACTGCATGTGGTAATAACACATAATGTCTTTTGATTTCTATGTTCTCTTGTGAAAATAACTGTGCTTGTTCTAGGATCCAGAGTAAGGACTTTTGAGAATCCGACATATCCTTTTTCTTGGTTCAGGTTTGTAAACATGAAAGTACAAATGAAATGTGATTTATAGTGTTCTATAAAGCTATTACAGTGTAGAAGTAATAAGGAAATACTTATTTTGACAAACCCCTTTAGTGGAAGAGACAGAAAATACAGTTACATGCCTTAGAGGGCTGCATTTGGACTAAAACTTAGAACATCATATGACCTACAAAAAATAGACAGGAAAAATTAGAAAAGATCTGGAGATAGACCCCCTAGACAACAATGTAGGAGATTTTTGTAGATTTTTGTGTTACAGGTGGCGGGTGAAAGGAAGACAGTCTCTGGGTGCAGCAACTGCTCT